TCATCATCATCATCATCATCATTTATTCATGCCATATGTTCAATATATCAAACTTATGAACAATCATCATCATTATCATCCTCACAAATAAAATCATGTTATTATTGTTGGTCATTTTGTCCTTTAAATTATCGTCGTATATTAACTCATAGTTTTGTTTCATGTAATTATATTAAATGTAAAAATTTCTTTCATGTAACTTGTGGTCTTATCAGTGGATGTACATTTCAAATTGACCATGATTATTCAATAATAAATGCTCGTTGTCATCTACATAGAATACCTCATCAATCTTCAATGAATATCAACAATCAACAAACATCAATAGATAATATTGATTATGAAACAACAGAATGTCTTGACCATCTAATCGATGATGAACAACCACAACATGAAGATGATGATAATAATGATGATGATGATGATGAAATCGTTGCTGAAAATGAACGTGTACCAATAGGTACACGAGTTATATTGAATGATATAAATGAACAAAAAATTGGTCGAGTTATGTCAAATGAAATAAGTTTTCATTATGCTGTTGATTTCGGTGATGGAAGTTATAGTCATGATATGTATGTAATGATGAACAATTAATTCAAAAATATGAATTCACTTTTGTTTTTTTTGTTGTTGTTGTTTTAAGGCTTGCTGAAGATATTCTTGATTATGATCCATCTATTGAACCAATAACACTTGTTGTTGGTTCAAATATTCGTATAAAATGGACTGATGGTAAAATATATTCATGTAAATATTTAGGTCGTAAACGTGTACTTTTATATCATATTAAATTTGACAATGAAACACGACAAATGCGTCGTTGTGAATTTTCATATGATATTCAACCACCATCACCACCATTAACACCAGGTCAAACTCAACGTGACCATAATTATAGTCGACGACAACCATTAACAACAAGTCGAAAACGACAACGTCAACGAAAACAACCAAAAAAAGTTAAACGAAAACGACGATGTGTAGTCTTGTCTTCTTCATCATCATCATCGGATGAATTTTAGTTTATTGAATGTTTTTTTTTTGCTATTGTATATGATGTTTAATACGTAGTTTTGTCTTTTTATCAAATACACAAACATATTTGTCTCAGCATACAAATTCTCATATTTATATATATATATATTTTTTTTTTGCTGAGTTCCGGTGATATATATATATATAAATATATATGTCACTGTAGTTTTGATTTTGTAGTCATCGTATCGCGTTTGTTGTGTTTGATATTTTTTTGTTTTTGTTTTTTGTGTCATATCATTTCTTTCTTTCTTTATCTCCGTCTCTTTTTTTTAATTATGTAGAGAAAAGAGAAGTGACGAAAAAAAAAAACTTTATTTTAAAACTATAGACAAATAGATAATAGACACTTGATAGTTGTTGTTGTTTAACATATGATGTTTGTTACGTATAATGTGAATTCCAGCTGTGCAACAATGATTTATTTATGTGTACTATGATTGATCGGATATGATGTCAGAAGAAACTAACTAGTGCCTTTTGAACTTTTCTTCTCGTATTTATCATATCAGTATGATCATCAAG